ACCCTTTTATCATTCTAGTTGCCCTTTTCTGCACTCAGTCCAATGCTATAATATCCTTTTTGAGGTGTGGTGACCAGAACTGTACACAGTACTCCAAATGAGGTCGCACCATTGATTTATACAGGGGCATTATGATACTGGCTGATTTGTTTTCAATTCCCTTCCTAATCCCCAGCATAGCGCTGGCCTTTTTTTTTTTTTATTGCAATCGCACACTGTTTGGACATTTTCAATGAGTTATCTACTATGCCTCCAAGATCTCTCTCTTGGTCAGTCTCTACCAGTTCAGACCCCATCAACGTGTATTTATATACACTCGCCCATCCTCGACAGATCCCTTTGGAGTGCCTCACAATCCTCCCTGGTTTTCACCACCCTGAACAACTTCGTATCATCCACAAATGTAGCCACTTCACTGCTGACTCCCAACTCCAAATCATTAATGAAGAAGTTAAAAAGCATCGGACCCAGTACTGATCCTTGCGGTACCCCACTGCTTACCACCCTCCACTGAGAAAATTCCCCATTTGTACTCACTTTCTGTTTCATATAGCTCCACCAATTGGCAAGTTTTAACACTTTGAACATGAGCAAATTCCTGGTCAGCCCCACAATGGAGCATTGTGCTTCCAAGATGCTGACCAGCATGGCCCCTCTTTGTATCTTCTCTTGCCTTTTTCTTCTCTGGTGTCTCTATCCACCCAGCCTAGCAGGAGAAAACAAAGCTTATTTCTTTGGTGATGTTTTATTACTTGCTCTTAGAAATAAGCATCCCTTTTCGTTCTCCTCAGAAAGCCACTATTAAATCTAAAGCAGCATGAAATGTCAAGCTATCAGGACCAAAATTAAAATGTGAAACCCCCTGAGGGGAAATGCTGTTTTTAAGGGTCGGAGGGGTGGCTGATAAGAACTGGATGGAAAATATGAGGAAGATCACCGTGCAAAAATCAGACTACTGGTCCATCTAGCACTGTGCTGTCTCTTGCAATGCTTCCCCAAGATTTATTTATTTATTTATTTAAAGTTTAGATTTCTATACCGCCCTTGACCCCGAAGGGTCTCAGAGCGGTTTACAGAGGGTATACATACTAATTATTCCTAATCTAGGGCCACAATTCATTTTTGGGAAGGGGCTGCCTACCGGCACCCAGCGGCGTACGTTCTTGTTGTTTTCTCTCCGGGCGGGCTTCTGATGTTACTTCCGGCACTTTGGATGGGCCGACAGCATCCTCGGCAGGTTTCAGCTGGTGTTCCTCTGACGCGTGGCTGCTCCGACTGCAGCTCAGCGAACGTCCATCAGGCTCCGCCGTGCTGCGTCCTGTGCGTCCTGAGATGCTTTTAGGAAGAAAGTTGGGTACTGATTCTGAGAGCTTCTGCAAACAAAGTGTATGCTGTGTCACTGGGCCACTGAGCCAGGGCTTTTACGGCTCTAGGAGCCACAATCCGTGGCACAGAATTGAAATTCCAGGTGAGAGTTGGTACTTACATGGGGCTTTGGTGCCATCCCAAGGGTAATTATATCGAAGTTTTTATTTCATCTCACACAATTAAATTCAATCAAGAAAAGACAAGCGCCCTTGTCAAACATTATAATTGCATACTCTACCAACCATGCATAATGATATCGCATGATCCCCTTAATTCTTCTGATACGCATGGTTGTGATGTTGTCTGAAAGGGGAAACGTATGAATTTTCTACATGCATACAGCTTCTGAACATGCTTCCCCAAACTGATTCACATGTACCAAGGGGGGAAATCCATGTTAACCTCAGAATATAATGTACAATATCCTCAACTTCCCCCATATCACAAAGACAAAGTCTAAGGGGGGCAGGCTAGGCTAAAGTACATCTATATATCTAATTCTCAAGTTGCCCCCTGGTGAGCGGATGCTTAAATCCGCACATCGGGGGGACCTGGGGGGGAGGGAGAGGTTTGTGCGCACGTGGGGCAGTCCCCACGTGTGCACAAAAATCCTAAATCTGGGGAAAACCATCGGGGGGATGTTTAAATCCCCCCGAAACCCACAGAGCGTCCCCTGCGCATGCGCGGGGAATGCTCTGCGACCGCCGCTGCCGCCACCGCCGCTTGGACACTCTTGCCTCTTCCGCAACGCAACCCTTTCCCCCCGAGCTAAGTTCAGCAGTGCTTGTTGCCGCCAGCCGGGGCTTGAAGCTTCAGGCTGCCGGACGCCCGCTTGCAAGCTGCCGCAGACCCAACTTGGTAGGCAGAAGAGGAGAACTCTAGCGCGCACCACCTTCCCCTTCTTGCAGTTCGGGTGCAAATTAAGTTGAGTGCGAGCTCCGGAAGCCAGCTCTTATCCTTTCCCTGCTGCCCGTCTCTGATTTAATCCCAAGCCGCGTCCCTTTTACCTGGTTGTGTTGCACGCAGCGCCCTCCCAGGCCAGGCAGCAGCCTGTTGCTGTGCGCGCTTGCTCAGCTCTATCCTGAGAGAAGCCGCCAACTGAACTCTTTTCTCCTCCCTTACCGCGGTTTCCTCTTTCTCCTCAGCCCCGTTGTTCGGGGGGGGGGGACGAAAGTGGGCAGCGCCCACTCTGTAGCGACCCCTGCAGTCTCCAACAAGGACCGAGGCTGGTGGGTGGGCCTTTCTTCGGTTTGCAATCTCTATGTAAACTAGTCCTGTGAGAAGTAGCGTCAGAGGCAAGCGTCGACTCCTGATCCTGCACCGGTCGCCCTGAGGGTTATATCTGTTTCTTTTCGCCCTGTGTTCTCTTTAGACAGGAGCCCTTTCTCTGACTCCGCATAATAACAGCTCTCTTAGTGAGTGGCACTGAGAGCTGCCCGAATAAGTTAACACCACTTCCCCCGCTGCGCCTTTATAGACTACGTTTTGTGGCGCATAAAACTCAGATGCGCACATCCCCTGACTGGCGTGGGTCTCTGGAGATCGCGGGTGCTTAAGGAAAGATCTTGGTAACGTAGCCGAGAATATATGATACTATGGCACTCTGGGAAGTTTTATTTTATTGCTGTTGCAACTGGGAGATCCGGAGGCCACCAGGGCCTGTGGTCAAATGCAAAACCAGTCGGAAGGAGCCTTTCCAGAAGTTAGTCGGACTGCTCCGTTTGGGAAGAGTGTGTTAGAAGCACTCCTAATTATCTGGATCGAAGGGTGAGGGCAATACTGAATGGGGACTCCAGGTCTGGCCATTTATTTCTGGGGGATTCATTTTGCCCTTGCCTGCCATCCCCCGGATGCGCACTCAGATCCGCTGTCACCACACGCTCTAAACGTGTTTCCTTCATGCTGGAACAAGTTCCCAATGGTGATTTGTGTGTGCCCCCCCCCCCAAGTTCTTAGAAGAATTGCCCCTGAAACAAATGGCCTCTTGGTACTGTGATTAATCCCGGATGAGTCCTTTGAAATCAGTGGGCCAGGAAGCCGAGGGTGTGTGTGTGCACACGCGTGTGTATTAAATGTACCTGGATTAGCACCACTGGAGTCCAGGTGCAACCACGAACAGGAGGGTGAGCGCAAAAAACGCAAAAAACCTTCCCAAGGAGCAGGCGGGAAATAATAAGCAATCTGTTTTTTTTATTAGATACCTTTGTTACACGGAAGTATTGGCCGTGGAGGGCCTCCGCCGTCTCCCCACCCCCGTGGATGGGAGAACTACACTTTCCCGCTTTCAAGGCTGTGTGGATGTGACTTGCCTTCGTTTAGTGTTTCCTGGGCCAGATTAAAAGGCAAA